AGTGATATCACCTCCCTGCTGGTCCCACTGGGGGCTTGAGTCCAGGGCTACTTGGAACAGGTGTGCACCTTCGGGCCCCTGAGTGCCTTTCAGAGATGCTTCCTTCACTTCCCTACCCTAGTTGTCAGGCCCTAAGGCAGAGCCACAGGAGGAACCCCAGTCTTGGCACCACGTGGAGCACCTCTGAGCTGTCACATAAACATGCCCGACCTGCCTCACAGGCTCAGATAGGCAAGCACACGATAGGAGGGTAGATGCTAAAGCAAGATACATATTCCAAAATAAATAAATCTGCTCTCAGTGTCAGTCAGTCAATAGTGACTTCAGCATGTGGTCCAGATGTCCAGAGATTCTAATTCCAGGAGTGTAAAGTGGGGCCCTCCACCATCTCTACCACCGCTGGTGATCACAGTGTGACAAACTCTGGCTTAATCCTTTGTCCCTTGGAACATCTGCCCCACCTACCCACCCCTGTCCCACAGCAGATTGGCAGCTTGATGTCTTACACAGCAGGCAGCCAGAGCACCTGTATAGTGCTCGCCACCTCGGCACTTGCTGTGGCTGGATGTATTACATGCCCATGTCCCAGCCCACTGTGCTCTGGGAATGAGGGTTTCTACCGATGTGCTCATGTACTAGGCTTGGAGGGATTTGGGAGGCAGGAGAAACTTTTATCTTCCCCAGCAAGGATGCAGATCTTCCAAGAAGGGCACCAACCTTTTTCTCTTTAGTAGATACTCTGAGCTTCTTAAGCTAGCCCCTCATTCTCATCCTGCCAGGGCTCAACTCCATCTCAGTAGATCACTTGTACGGGGGGGGGGGGGCCAAGCCCCAGATGCATTTGTGAAAAGCATAAGGGGCTGACACTAATGTCCAGGGAGGAGCTGCTACCTGCATTGCCCAAGAGCCAGGAACAAGCAAGACAAGGCTAAGATGCCTGAGCAGGTCACTAGGCTCAGGAAGAGGAGCGGGACAACGGCAGGAGAAAGTACAGACCTATTGTTAGGTCATAAGGTGCTTTCTCTGGGCAGTTGTAGCCCACAACAGGGTGCATGGCTTGGAAGGTGGTATAGAGGCTAGATTTTAGTCCTCACCAGCCCACTTTACCAGATGCCCTTGTACAGTGAACGACTGGAACAACTGTAAGTGACAGCCCTTCTCAGAGAGAGCAGTAGCAGGAGGAGGAAACAGAACGGAGAAGGAAAGGCCACCATGCCATTCAAGGCCCACACAACTGCCCCTTACCCTCTTCCCATGTGGTCCCCACCGAAGTCCATCCACGCTGACCCCACACTGCTGCTATAGTCATCTCCGACCCTCCCTTCTGCCTATATTGTCTATTCACATCCCATCCATCCTTCAAGGCCTTCTCAAGTTCCCCTCTGCCAAGAAGCCTTCCCTGACCACTCCCTTCCCTTTGGGAGGTGCACAATGCTCTTTGGATCTGCAACCTTAATAGGCCCTCAACACCTCTCTGAGCTAGTGGCTGGTCACCTTCCTATAACCATGTCTCCCCTCCCTCAAGACTAAGGCCTGCCAGATGTTCTTCAGAGCCCCTGGCACAAGGTAGCATGCAGCAGGTGCTCAGTGTGTGTTCGTTGATTGATTGTGATGAAAGAATATGAAATAGAAGCTGAAAAGGCTCCTAAGTCTGGCCCTAGTTTGACCACTAGTAATCCCTGAGGTAACCTGGAAAAAAGACCTCCCTATCTTCTGCCTCAGTTTCTCATGCAGTGGATGGTGAATAACCTCCAAGAGTTCTGCTGACAATGAACCCCAGCTTACATGACTCACAGCCCATTGCCCCCATCAGCCAGGTTCTCATCCCTGTCACCTCTGTGTCCAGCACAGCTCCTGGCCCAGCGCAGGCAACCAACACGTTACTCAAAATAAAATAAGTGTAAGTCTCTGTGCTTTGATGAGCTGAGCATTTAACTTGGTGTTTTATTTACTAAACCACAGACGGTAAACCTGGCCAACTGAGGCAGAAAAGCCCCACTAGGAGAAGGCGTACTATGGAAGTTCATGTGCAGTCAGCCGGTAGGCTGGAGAACCAGCATCAGAAAGCAGGCAGAGGGAAGACCAGACCACAGCCAATGGCAACCCCTGGGAAGGGTTTGGTCACGATGTCCACTGGCCCCTGGCCACTGGCTCTTCCAGGTTGTTATCATGACATGAGTGAACTCTGAACTGTCACCAGCAGTATATTCCAAGTGGGATATCTGCTGATTGCACTTAAAGTCACATGGCCATACCCTAATTGCCAAAAATGCAGGGGTGGTTCTCATGCATTCAAAATCCTCAATAGGAAGGCCCTTCAGGTGCTAAGTAGCCAAAAAACTGACAAATGTCTATGCTGTGACCCTGACCAAACCAATTCTCTCCTCCAGGAATTGGGAAAAGGGGCTGTAATGGGTTGAATAGTGGTCCTCCCAAAAGATATGTCCACCCATAACCTCAAAATGTGACCTTATTTGTAATAAGGGTCTTTGCAGATGTAATTAAAGTAAGGATTTCAAGATGAGATCATCCTCAATCAGGCTGAGCCCTAAATCCAATGACAAGTGTCCTTACAAGAGACAGAGAAGGAGAAGACACAAAGACACAGAGGGAAAGCCATGTGAAGACAGGAGGCAGAGACAGTGATGCAAACCAACAAATGGCCAGGATTGCCAGATGCCATTGGAAGCCAGGAGAGAGGCATGGAATGGATTTTCCCTCACAGCCTCCAAAAAGGAGCCAACCCTGCCAACACCTTGATTTTGGACTTCTGGCCTACTGAACCGAGAGATAATAAATTTCTGTTGTTTTAAACCACCCTGTTTGTGGTAGTTTGTTATGGTAGTCCAAAGAAACAATTGCAGGGCCCAGAGACATCATACATAGGACTGATGGAGTGCAATGGGACCATGTGGAAGCTGACACAGGGTGAGAGACAGAGGCCAGAGGCACAGTGATGACCACACAAGTCCCAGCAGCCCTTGGGTCCTGAGATACCCCAGTATCCGCCCAACAATTGCCCTTTCTTGGTAAGCTGGTTGAAGCCACTTTCTATGACTTCTAACAAACCTCAAGCCCTTAATATGACCATGTCCTAGCCTTCCGCCTGTCTCCCAACATGTGGGAGTACAGGAGGGGGAATGGGAAGGCTCAGCAGAGTCCACTGAGCCAGCAGGTAAGCACCGGTCAGTCAGCCCAGCCTCCAGACAGCACCCCTCCACAAAGCAGCAGGTGCCCGAGGCAGAGTCGGCTCTGAGGGCAGCAGGCCAAACACCAGGCACGAGGCCACCACCCGAATATCATGGGGAGGGGGCTGGAACTTCGGCAAAGGTACTCACTTTGTTTTTAATACCCTCACCCCATAATCCGGTGCTGTTCCTTAATGATTACTTCCCCCCAAGTACAAAGTTGGGGGATGTCTGGGCCTCTATTGCTCCAGGTTGAGGGCTGATGACCAGAAAAGCAACTTCTGATATGCAGAGTGAAGACCTTTTGCTAGAATAGGCAGTTTATAAGACCAAAGGCGAGAAAGTGGTTGGGGTGAGAGGGGTTCCACTATGTGCTCGCTGCCCTCCATGGGCCAGCTCTCTCTGGGACCGGGGAAGCCAGGTCCCCTTGCTGGCTCGCACTGGGATGGGCCGAAGAGGCTGCAAACACGGCTCCAAGAGACGGGGCACAAAGGAATTCTCG